GCAATTAAATTCATAAATTCATGTGGAGATTACAGTTTTAAATATAAAATTTTGAATACAGAAATATGATTCAAATAACTGTAATTATACGCTAAAAATGAAACAATCCGCCAGCAGGTGGCGGCAAGTCATTGATTTTATCACTGAGTCATTCATTCAATTGATTAGTTCGAACGGCTGATTCATTCAGGAATGAAGCAAGTGACTCTCTTTATGAACTGACAGAAATTTACATAAGATATAGGGATTAAAGTTGTATCTTATGTCATTTTATGCCTTATGTCATTTTGCTTCTCAAGTAAATGTATCTTGATTTAAAGATGTTTAGATATTTGTACTGGAAAACATTTCATTTTTATTTTCCAGTGCATGCAACACTTAATGCCACGACTTAATGAATTTAAGACTCTCTGCTCTGATTTAACACCTTTTTAAGGCCTTCATCTGTGAAAGGGTGAATTAAGACCCGCAGAAACCCTGAACAAGTATCAAATCTAAACCGGTTATGAGTCAAAATTCACAAACCATCTGCAGGACTATTAAAACCATCCTCAGTACAAATGAACTGAGCTGTGTTTGCATGAACCGGAGGCGTTTAGGCAGCGTTATCCGGGCAGGAGTGAGGGAAGACGTGTGGGTGAGCGAAGGCGGCGCTGAAGTCCAGCTCATCGGTGACGTGGCCCTTAAACACGCGCAGGTTCCTCATGCAGCCGCGGAACGGCTCTGTGGAGCTCAGACAGTTCTGCTTCACGTCCGCTGCGAGAGAACACAGAAACACTGATCAGATCCACCGTCACGTCAGCTGCACTCACATCAGTGCCGTTATCGTTAATAACTAATGAACAACAGGCTCATGATGAGTGCACAGGATTATGCGAGCCGTACCTGGGTATCCGCCCACATAGATGGGGTTTTTGGTCTCGGCCGAGGTGGAGGATGAGTACGGGTTCTCCGCGGTCACCGTCACACCGTCTACGGTCAGACTCAAGCTGTGCTTCTGCTTCTTGGCCACCAGGGTGCGCCAGCGGCCGTCACACATGGACACAGCGCTCCTGCTGCGCGCAGTGATCCGGCCCGCGCCGTTATTCACGTTAAACACCACCTGTGACGAGACGAGCGCACTATTAACTATCAGCACACACTGGAAATCACATGAGGGGCCAACATGATAAAAACAAAGAGTGGAAGTAAATGTGTGAATGGACCAGAGTGATTGTTAACTAAACTGAAATCATTAAAAAAAAAAAAATCGTAACTTTAAATGAAATGTGACCCTGGAGCACAAAACCAGTCCTAAGGGTCAATTTTCTGAAATTGAGATGTATGCATCATCTGAAGCTGAATAAATAAGCTTTCCATTGATGTATGGTTTGTTAGGATCGGACAATATTTGGCCGAGATACAACTATTTGACAAAATTGTATAAAATAACAAACTAAATAAAAAAATAAAATATGAAATACTATATAGACAAATTGCATAAAATAAGTAAACTGCATAAAAACAACTAAACAAATAAAACCTGGCAAATAAAAATGAATAAAAGCTATACAAATTGCATTTAAAAAATGCATAAAATAACTAAGACTGAATAAACTAAACCTGGTAAATAAAAATTTATAAATACTATACAGACAAATTACATAAAAAGATAAATGAAAATGAACCTATAAATACAATATGGATTGCATAAAATAACTAAACATAGTAAATTAAATTACTTAATTAAATTAAACCTAGTAAATAAAAATACTATATAGACAAATTGCATAAAAAACAAAATGCATAACTAAAATACATAACAAAATAAAAAATACTATATAGACAATATATTATATATAAAATAACAAACTAAATAAAATAAATATATTAAATACTATATAGACAAAATGCATAAAAAATGCATAGCTAAAATACATAAAATAAAATATAATATATAGACAATATTGTATATAAAAAATAACAAACTAAATAAAATACTATATAGACAAATTGCATAAAATAAAATGCATAAAATAATTAAAAATAAAAAAACTAATGATTAAAAATAAAAAAATACTATATTGATAATGTAAAAAAATAATGAAAATTATAAAATTACTAAAACTTAAATTAAAATGAAAACAGAAATATATATATATAGTATATAGTATATAAAAACTAATTCACGATATGAACAGAATTACAGGAGTATATGAATGTTACTAAATGAACACTGGTGGTGTCTTCAGCACACAGAGAAGGTGTTGGTGATATTAACCTGTCCGCTGACGAGCTCCAGGCCGATGGCGTCCACCTTAGTGCTGCTGATTCCCAACAGAACCCCATCCGGCGCCGTGGAGCGGAAGTCCAGACTCACGGAGACGTCCGAGCCCACGTTATAGCCCTCTTTCACTGCGGAGAGAGCGAGACGTCAGCCTCTGTTCTGAGCACTCATCATTCATCATCAGTGTCAGACTCACTGAAAGCGGCGTATCCGCTGCCGCTGAAGAAGCTGCCGCTCTGAGCGCGTCTGAAGCAGGAGCCCGCGGCGTGAGACGACAGCGCAGCGCTCAGCTTCATCTGGACGCCGCTGAACATCACGTCCCGCAGACACGCCGCCAGACTGTGTGTCACCTGGAGAACCACAGCTTAGAAACATTTCTGCAGGGTTCCCACACGTTGGTTAAGTTAAAATTCAAGGATCTTTCAAGGACTTTCCAGGTCCAAAAAACCCCTCAAATACAAGAACTTAATGTGGGACACATTTCAAGCGAGATCAATCGTGTTACCTTGTAAGATACATTGTTACAGTTTTCATGTGATATTCTATTTGTCGTATTTCTGTTTTGCATAAAACTGAAGAATATTCGGTACATCCTATACTGTATTCTAAAATGATCTGATATTAACTTTTATTGAAAAGAGCTTCGGCTCATGTAACCAGAAGTTTTAAGATGTATGAATATGCTTTTAAGTTTTTCTTGCCTCATGGGTTAACATTATCTTAACAAGCAAACATAGTGTGTGTGTGAGTGCGTGTGAGTGAGTGTGTGAGAGGGTGTGTGTGTGTGTGTGCACGCACGTGTGTGAGTGAGTGGGTGAGTGTGTGTGTGTGCGCACGCGTGTGAGTGAGTGGGTGAGTGTGTGTGCGTGTGTGTGCGTGTGAGTGTGTGTGCGTGTGTGTGAGTGAGTGTGTGTGTGCGTGCGTGTGAGTGTGTGTGAGTGTGTGTGTGTGTGTGTGTGGGCGTG